GGGGGGGGGGGGACAATACGTGACACTGGTAGAGGACAGTGTATCACGGCGGTGAAAGTCAATCGTAGATATTGTCAAACCATGTTGGCAATAAGGCTATTATTATTTTTGTTCACAAATCAAAATCAGTATAATTTATCCTTTTTAATGGATATTAAAATATCCATTTCTAAAATTTAGAAAATAAAACACCAAACTGTTTTGCTGAAAATGAAAGGTTTACATTCCTGAAATCAACTTCCAAATGAACTAACGTTTTAATGTCTAACTTCTACTTACACCTCAATCAATGAAACAGTCAAGGTAACCTTTGGGTGAAAAAAAAACTGTGCGTTTTTCCTAACCCTCGATCAAGATCACTACAACCCCAGTCAAAAAACAGTCGAAAAACAGCGTGACGCAAACAACTTCTTGGATAGCTTCCTTCCATTGCACAGCCATCTTGGTCTTTTTAAGTTAACTCATGCAATAATTATAATGTTACCAGTATGCCATCACCGATTTCTGACATATTCGCCGGGCCCGAACATCCAGATATTAACACGTTTAATTTACGAATAAAATGTTTAAGTTGAAATAAGCATTTTAGTCCAAACTTTCTAAATAACCCTGCCTGGTGAAACACTGAAATATACAATATATGAAATATGCCTCACTTAGATATATCCCACCTTTTATAGAAATGTACACTATGTAGAGTTCGCAGCAATCCAAGCTACCATAACACAGTCCTCAAGGCTTTGGTATGTGTTGGAAAATGTACCATAATTTTTTCTTTGTCTATAAATGCTACAAAGGTACTTATCCTTCCCAATTAGGATTTTAAAAACCAAGGAAGTCCTTGACAAGAATAATATTCCTTGACATTTCCTTCTGAAAATTTTACAGGAAAGCAAGGCGGTCTAACTGGCTGGCTAGTCATTTGAAACCAAATTATCAAATTATTAGAAATGATAAAACATATTGCATTCAAGTGAAGAAGGGGAGAGCAACAATTCCAGAGTACTTGTAGGTGAAAATTGCATACTTTTAGACAGAAAATTTGATTTGTGTGTTAACTTTCTGGATAGGATATGTTAAAGTAAGTTGACTTCATAATTTTCTTACATTCATGACTTTTATCAAATTTAATTTTCTTTCTTTTCTTCACTTTTTGATATATTTTTATGACCTCATTAAAGCGTTTTGTATCTGTAAATTCAATTTATTATTACAGTTAGCGTCCAACATTGTATGCAAATAAATCTTATCATTATAAAAAAAAAAATTGCATGATAAGGTGCTGTTGCAAATTGAAGGACTCTCTCCTTAATTGTGTGCCCAAGACACTACTCATATCACCATGGTTAAATCACTTTCTTTTTCCAGAGACTTAAGACTGGGTTCCCACAGATTTAGATCGATCCATCTAGATTGACCTAACTCCCTGGGGGTTCAAGCTAAATTACTGTCAGCTTCCGAGAGCCAAGCGAGCACAAAATTGAATTACCCCCTTACAGCTTTAAGTAGGCGCGACAGACATTTAAGCCGGTCAGGCTGACAGCAATCTAGTGAGACTCCCCAGGGTGATAGATCGATCTGTGGGAATGCAGTCTTAGCGAGGTAGAATCCCCTGCAAATGTGCAACAAAAATGGAAAACAATGTTCCAATACTGTGTACAGTATAACATCTTAAAATGTCTGCTGCTGGATAAGAATAGACCTTACTTAAGGTATGCTGTCTTCTGGATCTTGTTTAAAGGCACCACATTGTACATAAGCAAACAGATTGTGCATCACATCCAATTTTACTGTTAAAAACATGGCATGTTGAAGCCACAAGGTTGAAGCAGCATTCACAGAAAAAAATGCAAAACATATTTCAACCCATAAAAAATATTCCACTGAGATTTTCTGCAATTTTTTAATGTCAGTTACAAAAGTTGGCATCATTTGTAGGGAGAAGAATAATATTCCTCTTCTAACTCATACAAATCAGCTGCCATGTCGTCCCTGAGGAGCAACAGTTTATTGTCACATTCAGTCTGGGCCTGTTTGTACACTTGGGAGTTCTTGGTAATTGCTTCATTCACAGAGGTAAAGTCATTCAGGATGAGAAACTGCTTTATGTCAGAGACGAGCTTCATGAGAGATTCCCCAGCACGTACCTGAAACAAGGACAGGTATATAGTTGTACATTGACAATTTAAGTGGAGATTGTACTTTATTCAGAATACAGTCAATATAAATGCAATACTAAGATTATGCAAATATTTCATTTCATAATTTTTTTTATTGTTCAATATATTGTGCCAACAGGATTGCAGTGGCAGTGGAAATGCTACATAATTTTTTCCACCCATCGATTTTAAATTTATATCTTTATCATTCATAGACCTTTTCATCTGGACTTACAATATTAGCTGCCCTCACTTGCATCTCATACTGGTCCTGCTCAGCTTGGGTAGGTCTTGATATCTGGTTGGTCTCTTCTATCTTGATTGTATAAAGAAATTTGGTATTATTTTCACCAATTTGTTCATTTATATAAATTCATTGCAGTAAGAGAGCATTTTACACTAATTATGACCTAAAAGGAATAATGTACATTACCTCAATCATATATTACAATGACAGTATGTATTTTATAAAGTCTCTTAAGGTTCATCAGCTTCAAGTGTGCAAACATATAATTTGCAATTTGCACTCTGGTGAAATGATAACTTTTCAGTGTTATTGGACTTTGAGTAAAAAGCACCAAGAGTGACAACATTTCATAAAGGTCATCAAGCAATTATGATCATCCTTGTAGTCACAAATAAATATTACAGATTAAATGCAAGAGAGGCCAACGTCTTATAATTGTGCTAAGGTTAATTTTTTTTTGCTTTTTTTAACATCTGCCTTCTTTTGACCTATGTGAGGTCTTTACCCTTGCACTTTTGATCATTTCCATAAAGTTTTCCACCATTGATTTAATGTCATCCTTTAACCTCTTCTGGTAGGACTTCAGCAAGGCTTCCTTGCTTTGGGGCAGAGCTCTCTGCTGCTGGTTTTGTGACATTGCTGTACTTATTACAATAAGTTGTTACCAAATGTCGGTGATTCTGAAAGAATATATGTTAATTGAATGAAATATTCACCATACAGCCTTTTGAAACAGATTTTACAGTGCCTACATATCAGTAACAATCAATAAAGAAGCTCCACTTACACCGACTTGTCTACAAAGGAAATATTTAATCTAAGCCACGGGAAATGAACGATCTTTATGCAAGGTGCACAAATCATATAGTTAAGAGATGCATTAACTTTTTTCGTGTTTTGTACAAATAACTGTATATATATCTTACCGAATTTTTATCATTTCCCCGGCTAAATGCTACGCGACACTTTACAGGAAGCACTTGCCTACCCACAATGCCCTCAACTTCCTCTTTCAGGCTAACAAGATGGTGGGTGCAATCTCAAAAATATAACATGTGTAAATCCATTGAAATCTCCCCGAAAAACATAAATCCATCGCTAGATCGCACAAGAAAATGTTTATAATAGAATATGCTGTTTATTTATGAGTTCATATTGTCCCCGTTTGTTGTTCAATACTGAAAATCGAACACATTGTGCATGTGTCCCCGACTTCATGCAGATAGCGAGCTTCATTGTAAACCCTTTAATGATTTTAGCCGAAACCGAAGAAGGGCAAGAAGAAGGTAGCCGCTGCGCCCTTAGTGGCAAAGAAGACCGAGCCCAAAAAGGTGGTCAACCCACTTTTTGAGAAGAGGGCCAAGAACTTCGGAATAGGTAACGGAGCACAGCTTTAAATTGCAGCGTTAGGTTTTCATACATCTCACTACTAGCTTTATTTTATCCCCTAAAAGACAGTTAGAAATAGCAGTAAACAAGGTTAAATGGATATTATCCTTTCCAAAAAATATGGTTGCCAACTGCTTTGCTCTTGACAACGACAACTATATTAGTTAAATGTTTGATGTGTGATAACTATTGCCAGAGATTACAACTTAAAGAATAATTTGATTGACACACAAATGTGTGATATAAGGTTTTATTTCAACAATGTATTTGAGTATAAAATTAGTGCCAGTGCTATGAGGAAAAGAAATATTTGCTATCTGAACAGCATGATGTTAAAAAATCTACCACCTAGATCTCTGAGCACAACATTATGACTGAAACCCATATTTTAGATGTCATTTTTAACACTAGTACATTTTAGTAGACATCAAGTAACACAATCATTCTTCCCTCCCTAGGTCAAGACATCCAGCCCAAACGTGACTTGAGTCGCTTTGTAAGATGGCCAAAATACATCCGTCTCCAGAGACAGAAGGCCATCCTCCAGCAGAGACTGAAGGTCCCTCCTTCCATCAACCAGTTTAAACAGGCCTTGGACAGGCAGACAGGTATGGTTGTGAACAGGGGTTTCCCCCAGAATTTAGGGTGCATGGAGTCCAAAATGTGCATCTGTAATTTGGTCATGAATTTACAGGAATCCCTACCCAAGCAATCCCAACCAACCAATTCGTCATTTCCCCAAAAAATTAGTGAGTCATCCAGCTGTCTTTGGAGGCCAGTGACCCTCCTCATGACGGCTGAATGGCTGTCTGGGGAAAGCCTTGGTTGTTAATGAAAAATACTGTAAGCATTAGTGGCTTTTTAATTGTGCAAAGCCATATCTGTCTGTTTTTTGATTCAGTATTGGATTGCCATTATGTGTGGGCTGTTTTACAAAAGAACTTATGTCTGAAAATAGTTTAGACCAGAATTTTTCTCTACTTTGATTGAATAAAACGGTGATAGTTCAATTAAATGAAATATTGCACTGGTTTCATGGCTGATGTTTGTGGCTTGTTGTCATTTTATGCAAATGTACTACTTTGAGATAATGTAGGAGATTAGATCAATATCTTGGTTTAAAATCGGGCAGATTCTAAACCCATTTTGTGAAACTAAGATTTGCCTAAATCGGAATTTGTTCTTCTTCGGTCCAAAATGAATTTGTAGTTATCCACTTTGGAGATGGTGAACCTTTTCTCTCTTTACTAAGTGATGTGCTATAAAGTAGTCGGCTCTCTGTGCAGTGATGACAGCTGATATTTGCTATCTGATGATTCTGATGTCAAAAAATCTACCACCTAGATCTCTGAGCACAGACAGTTTGATTGATTAAAAAGTGAAATGTATGTTATAAAACTTAAAATCTGAATTAAAGTATTGATGTATTTCAGGTTGGGCAAATTTGATTGTGAGATGATGGGAAGTAGTTTTTTAGCCTCTGCGGTGTCTTCATTTTAAACTTGAAAGATTTCATTCAACTCTCCTCACTATACTCCCTGTCCCCCATGCCCTCTCGGCAAGGAGTCCATATTTTGTGCACATTGTTCTAGGCCAGTCTCATTTACAACCAAAACATTACTTATCCCCAACATTTGTATGTATATTGCAGCCACACAGCTGTTCAGGCTCATGGACAAGTACAGGCCAGAGACCAAGCAGCAGAGAAAGCAGCGTCTGCAGGCTAGAGCTGAGGAGAGAGTGAAGGGCAAGGACGACACCCCCACCAAACGTCCCCCCGTGGTCAGGTCTGGGGTGAACACAGTGACCACCCTCATTGAACAGAAGAAGGCCCAGCTGGTGGTCATCGCACACGATGTGGAGCCAATTGAAGTGAGTTGAACTTTTAATGTGCCAGATGTGGTGTTGTAAGCAGTTGTAATGTTGTTGGCTTTGAAGAAATTGTGTTTGCGATGATGTGAAAAGAATTTCTTCACCTGATTACTAACATGAAGTTGATTAGACCCTGAGCAAATGCACTTCAGTATGTCTGTATCAGTGAATAGTTTTTCTATATATATGTAACTTTATGTTGAAATTCACACCATTATCTTCCAGATTGTCCTGTTCCTCCCAGCATTGTGTCGCAAGATGGCTGTTCCATACTGCATTGTGAAAGGCAAGGCAAGACTCGGGCGTGTTGTTCACAGGAAAACCTGTTCATGTTTAGCATTGACTTTGGTCAACCCGTAAGTTCCGTTTTATCCTTCCCCTGTTACTCTGGCGTTGTTTGTATTAGGTGCTTATCAGTGGAAGATACAAGCTGTTATAATTGCAAGTTGTTGAAATATTGTTGGATGAAAATATGTAGCAGATGACATGTAAAAAATTTGTTTGTGAAAAAAATTCATCTTTAGGCAGTTGGTGATGATGAAGACTTCTTGCCATCATTCGCGGTTTCCACCAGAGACAGTCAGTCTCTCAGACTGTCAGAGATGGTCTTAGTCCTTCCTTGGAAGTCTGAGCCAACACAAGTTTTGAATTTGTTGAATGCTTTGAGTGTTTTTTTTTTTTTTTTTAGATTGATGAAAATAGTAAAACAGAAGAGTAACAAATACGTAAACTGAAAGCAGATTTAAAATTTTTTTGTTCCATATTTTGTGTATTTTTGAGTATGGAAAATTTTTGTTACAGAGAGGACAAATCTGCCCTAAACAAGTTGATTGATGCTGTGAAGACCAACTTCAATGAGAGAGGTGATGAGGTAGGTTTAAGAATGCAATGCATTTGTAAACTTCAGTTGATATAAGTTCTTTAAACTTGTTCTGTACTGCTCTCTAAATGCCCAAGTGCAGAATTAAAGCTAAATTAAGGATTTCATTGGAAAATTCTTGAAATGTGTTGGCTGTGATGAAGACTTTTTGCCACCATTCGCGGTTTCCACCAGAGACGATCTTTTGATTGTTGAAGATGGTCCTAGTCCTTCCTTGGAAGTCTGAACCAACACGTCAAGTCATTTTATCTTTCCCTTTAAGTGATGAAGCCTTTTTTGATTTGTGGATAGAAGAAAAGTAGCACTCAAAATGTGGCATTTCAGATTAAGTTAAGCATTTTCCAAGGCATTCACCATTTTTTTGCGAAGTATTTGTTCTAAAAATTTTTTTTTTCAGATTCGTCGCCATTGGGGAGGTGGAGTCATGGGAGCCAAGTCCCAAGCCAGAGTGGCTAAAATCGAGAAGGCCAAAGCCAAGGAATTGGCACAGAAAATGGGCTAAAAAACAAACTGTCAAGCTTCTATCATTTAAAAACAATGAATTGAAGACGGTCATTGACTGTAAAGCTACTTCATACAGAATTGCTGTAAAATATAAAAAAAGATGATAATAAAAAAATCGTGGAAAATATTTTCTTTTTTATTCAATCTTAATATCCATACTTACACAATCCAAATTTCATCTAATTTTATGATAAATGGCAATGGGAGTGTACCTTACTTAAATTGAGATGCCCTTCACAAGTGTAGCAAGTGTAGCGACTTGGAGGGAGGGAGGGGAGGGTGTGAAACGAATGGCTTGTGCTGGGTTTTTTAAGTTCTTTCACTTGATTGTCATTTCAAATCTGACATAACATCCTGAAGGGAAAATTGCCATAAAGAAATGATGACCAAAGCATAGTGGGTAGAATTTGCTATTTTCAAGAGATTGGGACATGCACAGAGAAAGTTTTGTTTACTGACGTGCACATGTCAATGCCCTGCCCAGAAATGACACGAACTGAGAAAATCTGACCCACCTTTAACACCATGGGTTACTGCAGTTAACGATTTTTTTAAACCACCCAATAGTAGATTCCTTTTTCTGACAAAATGCTTATTATTGATCCAGTGAAACATTCACTATAAAACGTTTTCAGTTGGTAATGCATTTAATAAATCATTTTCATATTACATAAAATATAGCGTTTCTATTCAGTAACTTTCTGTAGAAATGCCATCTGAATTTCTTTCCCGAAATTTAAAAAAAAAGTATTTATTCATTTACAATTTTGCCATCAACAAGGATTTTGCAGCAAATTAAAAACGGTAACAATATGTGTGCTTTCACAAAAAAAAAGTACAACACCCTAAGGAACCTTATAGCCACCTTGATATTTTCGGGGTTAACTGGAAACCCACATATCTCTTTATTAGCATACATAAGGTAATGCTAAACAAAGGATGGTGAGTGGTGAGTAACCATCAGTGCTCTGAATCTAAGGGTGATCCGCAAAATCAAACTGGGTAGTTGAAAAGAAAATTTAAGTCTCCTCATCAGTACTCTGAAACTCATGAGGCTTTTAGTTACATTAAATAATATCTGAGAAGTGACACTTTAAGAGATAACACTTTCTATAGCTGCATTGCTTCACTACAGCACACAACCTGAAATGGACTTCCTACTTCAAAAACTTGCAGTTCTGTGAATAATTAGTCATATTACCCTACTACAACTAGCCCAATGTGTAGGACTTTTTTGATCATGCACATGCACAAAGATCATGATTCACAATACACACTTCCATGCGTCTAATGCTAACAGCTTGTTATTATGACAGTGGTCATAATAACAAAGACCTAGATTAATCAAAACGACAGCATAGTAAAACCCTGTGTGTAAAGGTATACGGTCTTAAGAAACTAAATGACAATATTTGTGGGATTTGTTGAGAAATATTAAATCCTACTTAAGCACCTGGAAAAGTAACATCTGATCCAAGCTTAAACAGGCCAAAGGCCAAACCAGGCATTAAATAATAATAATAATAATAATAATAATAATAATGCTCTTGATAGCATGCTACTGGCAAATTCCTAAAAGATAACTGGCAAAATAAATAAATCTTAATATTGGCAGTTGGATAACAAAAGGCAAACTAACCTTGCTGGACAAAAGCACCTTGCCTTGTCTAAGTTACAATTATAACTGTTAAACAATTATATAATTTATATATCATATAACAATAAATGGAGTTCCATGGCAATTACTCCTTGGAGTATGATGTATCTATACTCCATCATCTATGAACATATAATCTATTCTCTAGTTTATATACTAGAGACATATACTGTATCATATGCTTAACTATCACAATATTCTAAACTGTCCAATTTGTGTAAAAGTATCACACCAATAAAACTGCTACCCTTGTGAGATCTTTTTTAAACACACATTAAACAATTTTTTCGTAAAAACAGATAAGCATTTCCAACACTTCATCCACATGAAACCTTCATAAAGCAATTATATACACTAGTCAGCATATTTGATTCTGGAAATATTCATATGTAATGACTCATCTTCACAAATGCCTAACTGTACCAGGATATGTGGATGTCATGAATATACAAGCCCATAATTAACAGCTATTTGAGATGCTAAGATCAATCGAGTTTTTTTTATTATTCAGAAAATTTTAGGAGTGACATATACAGGACCATGTTTTACAGCTTTGTCAGCAAAATTTCAAACATATTTTGTGCACTTCTCAAATTTTGATTCATCAGAGTGACTCATAACCTCCTCCTCCACCAAGAAATGCTTCAAGGTCATCCATAGTCTCGCCAATTTCGTTCGGTTCGCTCTCTATTTTCTTCTTCTTTTTCTTCTTCTTCTCTTTAGTCTCTTCTTCCAGTGTCTGACCCTCATCCTTTGCTTTACTCTTCTTGGACTTTGTTTTCTTAGGCTTTCCTTCCTCCTTCAAAAATTAAAATATATACACATACAGCATGTATAAGGTAAATGAACAGAAAACAGATGCACTTATCTGTTAGCCAATTATTTCACCTTTCAGATATGGTAATAATATTATAATATTAATAATAAAAATAATATTTTTTCTTGCCAACTATAAGTTGGATTGTACATGCGCCATAAAAGAGTGATAAAAGTAACTAAAACACATAATGGCATTGTCCACTTAAAAGAATTCAATGATTAAAATATCAAATCAATCTGTTTTTTTAATATAAGTCAGTGACCATCACTAACCATGCAGTATGCATGTGCATGTAAAAATTTAACCAAAAAACAACATAATATCCTAGAAAGAAATTATTTGCCAAACTTCAGAGAATCTGCAAAATAATAACATAATTATGGGACCCAGAACTTCACCAAAACAATAAGGCAATACCTGTTTGTCTTTCTTCTTTTTCTTTTTCTTGGTTTTAATGGTGGTATCTGGTGTTTCATTCTCTGTTTCCGGACGGCTACTAGACACTGTAATACATATTGCATATATGAAGATTCAGTAAATATTTCATTGAAATATTTATTTTTTATCACTGTCAACTTAAAATGACACTGGTGTTCATCAGAATTAATAAAATTCAATTTGGCAAATCCAAGTCAATGCCAATGCTTTGTCTTTGACAGCTGCCTCCAACAGCATTTTATAAGGTTATCCATGTTTTCGTTACCAGTTTGAGAGAGAAGTATGAAGGTGATATCAGATATTACCTGATCCTGCAGATAACCCTTTCTCCAGTATACTGAGGTCTTCAAAGAAAAGCGAAGACCGCTGTTCGACTGGTGGCACCTCCTTTTTATCCTGAAAAGATACCATGTACTATGTTATGCTTGTGTAAAATGTTGCTTTAACATTATTTTCTAAAATATGGACAGAATATGTTATGGTTTATTGAAATCTAAATTTAATGATACTTATAAATATATATATTTCTAATAAAAACTCATTTTTGTTGAATTTAGCATATAAATGATGACAACTTATGACAGAAAAGTTGGGTGCATATGATGTCTAACACCACTAACACTTTAATTTGTTGAAGTAAAACCTGAACTTGGTCTCAACACAAAGTGACATGATGACAGTCTCCATGTACTATACCTCAGTGTCTATCACAACCACAGGTTTCTTCACAGGATGCAAGTCCTCGTCCCCTTCACTGACATCCAAGTCACCCAATATTGCCACATGATTAGCAGCCAGCCTCTCCTCCTCACTATCAATAGAAACAGTGTCCACGTCCTCCTGAAGTACACTGGGTTGATCGACATGTGTCTGAACTGGAAGCTCTTCATCGGAGTCTGTAAGTTCAACATCCTTTGCACTTTTTTTCTTTTTTGATTTAACTTTATTTTTCTGTGAAATGGATTTGCTGTCACTTTCACTACTAGTCGTGGACCTCTTTTGTTCTTTAGTAACAGATTTTTTATCTTCAAGTGAAGACTGCTTCATTTCAGTTTTTTCGTCTTTTTGAGCAACTGGTTGTGGAATAAGCACAGAACTAGATGGCGCTTCATCAGGAGAGTCCAAATCCTCATCTAACATGATTCCTGGTTGATTTGAATTGTCATCATCATCACTGGATAATTCCACTTTTCGTGGTTTTGTCTCCAACACCTGTGCTTGCTTTCCTGTTGTTTCTTCATCCTCACTAGAGGGCTCTTCATCATGAGGAGCCACTCTGAAGTCTGCTGCAGGTTTTGGAGGTTCTTCATCTTCAGAGTCCAGTTCATCTTGGAAACCTGCCACCATGGGATTGCCACCACTGTCATCACTAAAATATCAAAAATCATACTGTGTCAACATGCAATTAAGGAATTGTCGACTTTTCATTTAAGTGTCTTTATAACCCAACCAAGACTTAGAACACAAACTATATTGCCAGATTTAGTCCCCTAACCATATACAATACAGGTTTCCAACTGTTAAAATAATTGGAAGCCTTCAAAGGGTACCTGCCCTATGAATTGAAAGGACTATATAATGACACTTTCATTTCTGCATCAAAAACACTGTTGGCCATCTGGCAGGAAAAGTCTTTCCCAAACATGCTGACCCACTGACACCCTAACACAGCATTCAAATACCTTCTGAGTAGGCTAGCTTCACCACTGAAAATATCTTTTCTAAAATTAATATTAGAAAATACGTCTCATTTCTTGTATTCACAAATGCCTAGAGTTAACACCTTTACATTTGTGGGACACGCCCCTTAACACAACACCCTCAACGTGTCACCAAGTACCTGTCACTGTTGTCCTCTCGCTTTTGAGTCTTGAGATCTTTGGAGTCTTTGGTGTCCTCCAGAAACTCTGCATCAAGACCTTCCTCTGGTACAAAGTCCTCCACACTGCCTACTTGAGGTTGACCACTGGGCTGTATTACTAAGCCTGATTGAATATAAAAGGTATAATATATATCATAGCAATTTTATATCAGCTAATGATACACCATATCGAGTGTAGCAATCTGATATTCAATAGAAAACAAAGATACATCATGAAATCAATTACAGCAGAAGACAGCAATGCATAATACAATTGCGATAATCTTACAAAAGAGAACAGTGATATACATATCATAGCACTTGCAGTTATCATATTTTACTTTAAGCAATCTTTAAAAAAAGGAGCTGTAACATTAAAATGAGAGACCATTTGAAATAGGTATTAGTCTTTCACTTTTAGCAGCAGATTACTGTATAAACAATAATCCATGGTATTTAATAACTGGTACAACATGTATGTATTATAACCGTTTTCCTTCACCAAAAATTTAATTGACCAACTTTTTTGTATTAAAAGTAAGATTTATATTTCAAGGAAGCATACCAATTGTTGAAAAAAAAGGACGCATGGGAGGGGTGAGTTTGGAAGAATGGTTGGCTGTTTTGACCAATTAATGCTAATTTCACTAAAATCTCTGGTCTGCCTTCACTACTGCTTTGTTTTGGTCTGGGAGCTGGCAAATTTGTTCATGACTGGGTTACAGGTTTTTACATATTTTTTACTTAATCAACTTTAGTGAATCATGTTCTTTTTATACCTGTCTGTTTCTCCTGTTTCTCCTGCTTATCCTTGTTGCCAAAGAACCTGGACATGAACCCTCCACTCTTCTGTTCCTGAGCCTGAAGAGAGGGTGCAGGTGGTTGTGGAGATGCTGATAACTGATTGGCTGATGGGGAGACGGACATCGTCTGCTTCTCTTGCTGACTCACTGGGAGATTTGGGTGGGAAATTGACTTTGGCATCACATTACCTGTAATATATTTGAGTTTTGTTGAACATCAGCATAATTTAGTACTCGATTATTTAAATCAGTTGTACAATTTATTTTTGTAGAGTACTAGTGATTGAGATGCCAACTACCGATACGGGCATCCATAGTATCTTTCTCATAAGAAATATGTTAAATCTATCAATCTTAAACAGTTACTGGTTTTTCCTTATATTAATCTTTCATAATCCGATTCCAATTATATTTTAATTAATTTTGTTTTTGAAAATTTAAAAACACTTACTGGATTGAAAATAAAAGTGTTTACAATGAAATTTTCATACAGAAACACAAATATAAAAGTAATATATTAACAAACACAGTGACTTCCAAAATTATCAAATGATATTGATAATCCTGTCTCCAATTTATATCATCTAATATAAAAAAATTTTTAAGTGTCTGACATACCTTTTGCGTGTTCTGCCTGTTCCTGCAGAGCTGCCTGTGCTGCTTTTTCTGCTTCCTCTTTCTTCTTTGCTTCCTCAATGGCTTTTACTGCAAGTTTTTCCTGCTGGGCTCTTCTTTTCTCTGATACACCCTCAATAAACCTTAAAAAAAATCAGGGATTGTGTGAAACTTTGGCTTTAGACTTAAGAACCTAATACTTGATATTCTTTATAAGGAACCTTTTAATGTTCTGTATAAAATGTTATAGCTATCAATAAATCTCATCACTGCATTTAAACACTTCTGAATGCTACAGTTCTTCATAACTTTTTCTACTGACAACATACAGAAAAACAATCAAAGTAATATACTTAAGATAAACTTTTTCATTTCCTAATCATAGCAAAACTGTTAACACGCCCCTTTCTACCAATAAGAGACATAAACAATTCACACCATTCACTTTCTAGTTAAGGTAAGTATAAGGAACTCACATGTCATAGTTCTGTTCTTCAGACTCTTCCTGTATATCTAACTCTTCCAGTACAGCACTGAACTCCTGTACATTGATCTCTAACTGTTTCAGTAGCGTCTCTTTCTGTAGAATAGCAAAACTAACTAGATTGGTTTTAAATCAATTACAATAAATTATAATATATTCTGTTTTGGTGATTGCATTCACTTGTTTTCATATTATAATACAAACAGGAAATGTAGTATAATTACATAGTAAAAACTGTTGCCCCTCATATATTGTGCAAAATTAAATCAGATAACTTATATTTAATTGAAGTAAAATGATGAAATAATAATGAAAAACATGAACAGGTTTAACAAATTAATCAAATAATAAATGTATCATAAAGTTATATATGCTTATTGAATATTTTATGAATCCCGCTTTAAGAAAAAACTTTAATTGTAAGTAATAATAGAAAACATTTGAATTTTTTTCATAAAATGGCAGGTATCAGTAAATATGAAGAATATGATACTACCTGTAACTGCAGGAAGGGCAAATTGAAGAATTTATGAACATATTTAAGACCAAATCCATTCCTCATGGATGATTCCATACACCGAATGGGTGCCGAGTTGTCAGGTCTGCAATGATAAAATGAAAATAATTAAAAATATTTGAAGGTTTACTTTAATTTTGTATTGTACAAATTATAAATGATATCTTCCCCTTTCTCTCTCTCTCTCTTACACACACACACACACACACACACACACACACACACACACACGCATGCACGCACACGTTGCACACGTCTATATCCTGCCTTTTACCTGTTCCAATTGTGAACATTTTGTTTAAAGTGTATTTATTTCTCCCATCATTACTTAACCTACCTGTTTTCCTGAACTTCCTCGATGAGGTACTTTATCTTTTCGTCCAACACTGTTCTGTGATGGCCCATATCTCTGTGGTTGGACATAATTAACACTGGAATGGTGTGGGGAACTTTGGGCAGCTCTCTCTCAATGTAATCAAATGTCCTAAAGCATATTTTAAAGTCAATCAAATAATGATCACATTAAAATATTTCAGAATGTATTATTTGAAAGTTCATGGGCTTATAACATAAAATGGGCTATAACTGTATGGCTGGTGTTACACAAAACTGAAACACACCCTTCTTTCTACTTTTTTAAAAAATGTTTTAATGTGTTGGAAGATATTGATGTGAGTTCAAGGTTAAAAAATTTGCCATTTGAAAATGAGATGCCATAGATACCGATGCCATATTATTAAGAAATTATAATGTTTGCCTGTATTACAAACTGCTTTAAAGATTAATTCTTATGGCTTTAATCGCAGCTCACCATTGCTTTGTGATATCCAGCATCAAAATAACACCATGTGTTCCTTTGTAAACATCCACAAACTGAGCATCCAAACACGGCTCACTGGGTTCCTGTAACAGATATGAACAGCATCAAAGTGAAAACTGTTTGGAAATATATTCCATGCAACATCCAAACATGAGAAGCTAGATACTCCCCCTCCAAAAATAAATAAATAAATAAATAAATAAATAAAAAACACACAAATAAAAGCAAATGCCCAAGATAAAAATAATATTGTCATTTGCTGTAGGCAAACAGGCAAACATAACCACAAATCAATTCTAAATGTATGTACAATTATGAGACACTGTACTTGATAACAGGAAAGAAATCAGGGCTTGCAGCACAATCCCTGGAACAAATAATCAATATACACGCAGCAGTCTTCAGTAAAAAGTGATATGCCAATATCAAGCTTCATGGAATTGTCAAACAAGAGTCATGGCATACATTTGACAGAAATAAAGTTGCAGCCATGATTTCATATTTTAAGCTTTTAAAAGATTCCTCAACATCTGAAACTATCACCCTCAGAGAGCAAAAAAGCCAATATTTTTAAACTGTCAGTAATCTCCCTAAAAAGTGACTAACTGGTTATTGGTAGAATTCAGTTTTTGTGCCAATAAAAATCCACAAAATTACAGACACATATACGAATTCACTGTTATCAGACACAACACAATGAATCATCCAAGTGCAAGGTTATCTGCAAACATCAATGCTCTGAGCCATATTCCAACATTGTTGATGTACTATATATTATTTATCAACACACACAAGCTTCTTTAATGCCAATTTGAATAATCATACTCCAGCTAGCACAAAACAAGTATTTGAGTATGGTTATTCCTGAAGACAAATATATTGCACATAAAGATACCATTTAACATTTATAAAGGGTATTTAAGAACTAAAACATCATTTTAATATTGGGATTTAGTGACCAAGGAATCCTATTCCGTGTAATGTGATTTCAAAAGATCTGTTTTAACACTTTCAACAAATTTCAAATTAATGCTGCTTTAACTCCTGTACACTTTAATATTGGATCAAAAAGTTCATATTCAAAGTTGTCAAGTTACAAAGCAAAAACTAGCAAAATTCAAGGCTTCTAATCATTTATCAATTTCAGAATGCAAAAATAGGATTTCACTATTCTTATGAAAAAAACACAGTGACTGCTATCTGAATATTTAAGACCAGCCCTCAAAATCTATCAATGAGACAATTAAATGATATACCACAAACAAGCATTTACCTCCTCTTCGACTACATTGTCCAACTTCAATCCATCAGACTTTTTCTTCTTCTTTCCTTTATCAACCACATCCCAAACCTCCACTTTCACCACATCATCTGTGTTCTTGTAATTCCACTGAATGCTTGCAACCTGATATCAAAATAAGACTGGAAATTATTTGCTGCCTTTAACAAGTATGCAATCCACTCTTCTGTTATATCAACTTACACGTTAATGTTGAAATACAAAGACATAAATTGAATTCTATCAATTCCACTCTCCCAAACTTTTAAACAAAAAACAAACAAACAGATAAGTTATTGAAAATAATTGTGCTGACCACAATAAATGACACAGATACACATTTTGAGGTACAACTTAAGGGTCAATCACTTCTTTAATATCGAATGACTTTTCAATAGCTAATAGAGTAAAAATTTGGTACCTGTCAAATATAAAATCAATAATAAATAAATATGTACCTGTATTTCATCGGTGGGGATATATTCCTCTTTGAATTTCTGGCCTTGTAATCGATAAAACAAACATGTTTTTCCAACGTTCCTGTCTCCCTTGATGATGATTTTCACTAGAACAATCAAAACAGCCATTTATAACATACTTTAACTTTTGTTAAGACAATAAGATTGAATGAATAAAATTCCATCTTGTTCTTTTAGATCAGGAAACATCACAACAAACATGCAGAAACGATAACATGGAAATAATGATACCGTTCTGGAAAAAGTCCTTACACCAAACTATAGATGAGAGATAAACACTATTGGCCGATTTCATAAAGGAGGTTTAAAGTTAAACCTGGTCTAAAGTGAGTTTACACCAGGTTTAGGGATTGCCTGCATTTCATAAAGGAGGTTTTAGTATTGGACCAGTGGTCTAGTAAAACCTGGCTTAACATCATTCTAAACCTGGTCTAGACAGGTTTGTGTTTCATAATTGAGGTCTAAGTTTTTGATACCCGGATTATGGACACAGACCAAGTCTAAAAATAAACCTGGTCAGACCCAGGTTTTAACTCTGTAGCTTGGAAAAAAGATCTATCACTGCTTGGTTTTCTTGACTTAATTCAACCTCTTTTGGCCCCCCTCCAGTCTTTTTTGCAGCTTTTTTAACTTTTGCAAATTCTTTCTTAGCTTTTATTTTCGCTCGTTTCCAGAAGTCTTTCACCTGCCTTTCAGCTCTTTTCCCGGCTTGTGGAAAATGTGCTGCCAATCTTGTTAGAATTTCTTTCCACTCCTCATTTTTTCTTTGACTTGATGTGACATCATTTTTCTTTGATTCAGTGATGTTGGACTTCTCCTTTATTAGTTCTGAGATGTATCCCTTCTCTTCAGCAGAAAAATTCTCCGCTCTCTTTCGGCTCATTTTCACGTGCTCTTTACTTCCAAAGTTTTTTCTCATATGAGCTACACAGCTTATCTGCTTCAACGCTAGTGTGTGTCATCTATTCATTTACGCCTACCTGATTGACACAGTTCAGTGATTTCTTTGTCTATGTAAGCCTGTTACATTCAACAGGAGGTCAAGGACAAGTTAAAACTGGTTTAGCTAAACCTGGTTTTCTGGCATTCCTACACTGTTAGTGAAATGCAATTTAGGTCTTGAGTTAGACTAGGTTTTGCTAGACTAGGTTTTAGCCTTAAACTAGGTTTAGTTAAACCTCTTTTATGAAATCGGCCGTATGTGTTAAGTGACTGATATCTTGGGAAAATTATGTACATGAGAAGAACATTGAATCAGGCTATCAGCTTAAGTTAACAGTGTTGCATCCAGGGGCGTAACCAGACCTTTGAAAATTGTACGCACAGATTTTGAAAATTCCCAGGTACGATTATATTCCTTGAAAAATACACTGAATTAATGGAGAATAATATCATGGTTGGCTCCAAAAATTGTACGCACAGTGCATCCGTGCATATGCCTGGTTACACCCCTGGCATCAGAGGAATAAGCAAAAGTAATGTAAAAGACAGGAAAACAAGCAAGCAGAAACGCAGTTAAATGTAACTTGATTAATCTTGCTACTCACTGTTATACTGCACTCCTTTTGCAAATTTTCTTTGCAGGCTGACACCCATGGTTTGCATCCCAGGGGGTGGGGTAGCACTGGCAACCTGAGACTGCGCTGCCTTTTCCTTGTCATCTCCGGAAAACAGTTTCTTAAAGAAGCTCATGACGATTGTTACTTTAATGACGACAAACGCCAACAACTCACACGAGTTCGATTATTTTCTGTCCAAGACAGATGGTAACTCAACTCCAGTTTGGTCTAAACAACACACTTTACTTCCAATTCCTTAGGGTGTTCATGCATCAGAACAGAAAACTGCATTTCAATGAAGACAAGAGACACTGTGCATCATTGTACTATGCCTGCGTGTCTATTTGCGGAAATGTCACACAAATATAGAATATTGCCACCTTGGGATAGATGCCTAACAACACTTCCGATCACCTGCTGCGCAAGCAGGAAATATTTACGCGAAAAACTACTCCCAAACGAGGTACTATCAGTTTCAACAAAAACATCAGTTTGTGCAGTTCAATTTGTAATGATTTATAAGTCGCTTTATCCATGTCTGATAATTTCATGCTGAATCTTTTACTAAAGCTCGTGTAAATTTGAGGCGCATGAATACGTCGGGTGAGTATTCTCAACAAACACAATTTAATATCTCAACTATCGCAGTGAATGCTTTCTGTAGTTCAAAGGTGAAATATCAGAACTACATGTACAGATTTTTGTTCTGAACGAAGGCGATTAGTAAATTGAAGTTTTTTTTTCAATTTTGCAGCTAAATAATATAAGTCCAATGTGAGGAAGAAATAATACATAAAAATAATGATAGTCAGGTAATAGTTCATGTTTCGTAATTTATTGCCGCACCTAATTTTGCTGTTACAAACAGCAAGAAATTAAGGATCCACATCATCAAGGATGCAAATCACTAAATCGAAACTACTTTCCATTTCATGATTGTAGGTATTAACATATGTCCAACTAAAAACTATTCTTTTATATTAAACCCATATCCAAACATTACTGAGAATATACTGTAGATAAAAGTGAATGAACATAGTATACACTCAGATAATTTGCAGTGTTCATAGAAAATGAAAATTTACAATACCAAATAATATTTAAAAGTAATTTATCATTCTTAAAAAGTTGCACAAAAAGACATGCAAGCATCCAAAAATATAATTTTCGGTAATAAATAATTATGATCTGTTAAAAGTCGACAGTTGTGTTCTGAAAACAAGTGACCCCCATTAGCTTATTTTTATTTCATTCCGACACTGAAAAAGGCTAACAATTAATTTGCCAAAGTTAATAACAAAATGCATCCCATACATACAAAGGATAGGTAAATGTGCTACCCAATGAGACCTCATATATGATTTTTTATATACCAATGACATCTGTTCATTTATTTATTCATTCATACAATGTTATTCGTTTTAGGCCACACAGCCATGTTTTAAAATGGCATGGGCTCAAAGCATCATGTGTGACCTGAGAAAAAAAAAATATATATACCAATTTGAGCTACTTAATTTAAGTCTGGATTCAATACACTCAACATTGCACCAACAAGATGCAAGCTCCCAGTCACCAAGACATGGACAGTACTGGCAGTGCTAAGGATTTCTGGGAGGTCCACATTACTAGGAATAGGTCCAGCCTCTCCGCAAGATACAAAACCTAACGTGTCCACTATAGTGGGAAATGCATAGGTTGGAATGGTTGCCTTGTGTGAGAATGGATGTGGAGCTGAGGTAGAATTGGCAAAATCATTCAGTTCATTTTGTGCATACGATTTTGTGAGGTTTTCATTCACGTCAGAGTCAATGTCCAACTCCTTCAAGTTGTACTCCTTTTTTGATCGTTTCCGTGGGATACCTTCAATATCATGTTCATCCGAATCACTGGGACCATTCGCAGAGGCAGTTTGAAGCAACTGGACGAAGGCCTCTTTGTTCTGTTGGCAGCGCAACATTTGCTTTTCCATGGTTACCATATTGTTTGTCAAATCTGAAGTAAAGATGTTAACATCATGACAAATTAATATAAAACAAATGAAATTCAAAGATGTTTGCAAGTATTTGGTTTTTAAAGAAATGTGACAAAATTATCTGTCAATAAGCTAAATTCATATATTATTTGCTGCCTCACACATTCTGTTGCAAGATATTTCTAGGTCATTTCAATAAAGTAAGTAAATACTTAAAACTGTACCTGCATGGTCTCCACTAGTTGAGACAATATTAGGACAAAACACTGCACAATCAAAACCACATCCCTGAAAATATCAACGATTTTCAACGATCAACGATTTTCCTTCATCTATATTCCTATAATCTAAATCATGCTCACGTTTAAAAAGTTTATATCACATGTTAATGATACACCATTTCCATAGATTTTTAGATCGATCTATCCCTGTGGAGAGTCTCACTAGATTACTGTCAGCTTGGCCGGCTTAAGCGTTTGTCCCGCCTACTAAAAGCTGTAAGAGGGTTATTAACTATGGTGTCCGCTCGGCTGACTGCAACATAGCGTGAACCCCCAGGGAGTTAGGTCGATCTAAATCTTAATCTTTAGATTGATCTAAATCTCTGGGAAAGCACCCTTAGAAATTCAGAATTCCTTATTCTTGCACAAATAATGTCTCCATCCCTTTAACTACAGGGGAGAGGGGGTGGGGGGGGGAGCAGCAGCATCACAATATCAATAAAAAAACTCTTGACTTCTTCCTTACCGCAAGTGGTTTCAGTATTTTTCTTGACTCCCTCTCTCCTGTGGAATTGAAAAGCAACACACGTACAATTCTGCCATTTCTGAAAATTAAATTAAATTTAAAGAGAAATGTTTGTTTCTATATTCTATTTAAATTCATAATTGAAAGTTCATGAAAAAGAAAATTCTTCAAGTAATTAAATATTTAATACAAAATTTACAGAAACTGTTTACTGTATCACATAAAAGAAATGTCAATTGTTTCACAGATATATTAAATAATATTCTTTTTACTTTTCAAGAAATAACATGTGGCTGTACTGTAAAAAAATATTTTCAAATCCACACAAGTAATATTTTCCTTTTATCAGCAAATATAACAATAAATATTTCAACAGTGAACAACAAAAATGACTGGATCCTTAATACTTACTCCTTGTTTTCTCTTGATGAAGCTTTATTGAACCACTCTCCACAAACCTATTCAACAAAGCAAGAAAAATTGTACAAAGTCTAAATCAAACTTTAAGTCAAAACATCAAATGAGAATACCGTTTTATTACTTAACAATTACATAAAAGTCAATAAACACATAAAATATATTCATGAACATATTAAAGCTAGCTAATATTATAAATCAAACAAATCACTAAATATTTAAACTTTACATTTTGTACACAATTTAATCTAAAATAGTCATAAACTAAACCTTTTAAAATTATAAAAGTGCTGTCAAAAAGTATAGCTGAAATCTAGTTTCCTCAGTCTACATCAGTCTAAACTATCACCTCAATACTTCTTGGGGTATGGGCACCATCTAGAAAATAAGTAATCCTGCCCTGCTTCAGTGTTTGACTTCGACCAGGCCAGCTGCACTTCTTCAGACCTGCAAAACATTAATATTATAAATTTGCATACAAGCATGCATAGTAGTGCACAGAATTATAATCATTTTGAACAACTGATATTCAATAAATCATTAATACAGAGAATGGATTTTCCTCTGAGAATATACACGTCAGAAAAACATATGACATCAGTGCACATTCTACAGATTTCACTTCCAACGATACAAAATTCTCTCAGTCAGAAATAGCTCCATTTACAAAATTTTACCTTGGTGATAAAGATCTGTGACTGCGAATATATTTGCTTCTGGGATTCCATCTACATTTTCACTCTGGCCATGAGGTTGAGGGGGAATGACACCATTTTTAGTAAGATCTACCAAACAAAAAGGGTGTAAAGTAAAGGTAGTCTCTATTTTGCTTTAATTTAGAGCCGTAAATAAACTATTTAAAACCAAATGATCTCCCAGTGACCTAAAAACAAAAAATTAGCACAGAAAATGTATCACTTATAAGTCTAGCCATTATCAGTAAAACAATTCCCAAAGGTTCAAATCATGAATACATAATTTTTTTCAAATTCCGTTTAATAATCAGTCTTCATATTCATATATATACTGCAAATAATAAGATAATAAGAATATACCTACCCTGTTGCCCCTTCATCTTCTTCAACCATGTATGACATAGTTGTAAAGCAAGTGAAGCGTTGTTATATTGTACATCACCTGCAATACCCAACTCCAAAGAGCTTGATGACCAGCCATACTTCTCTATAGGTGGAGCTAGTGTCAGTGAACTCTAAAAGTAGAAGAGATTTTATGTAATGTGTACAGCCATGAGCAGAAAGATAAAACATTTTTGTAAGAGAAGGATTGCTACAATCTTACTATATTCACAACACTCTCTCCTATTGAATCAAATTGTTATGCAAAAAAAAAAAAAAAAAAAAAAAAAAAAAATTATTGAACAAACATAACTTTCAACAACAACAACAGCAAATTTAAAATAAAATAGACCTACTTAATTTAACAAATTATTTCCTGAAATTTGGTGCTTTTTGACACTTTTTTTAAACTGCTGAATAATAATGGCTGGCAATTCTACTCACATCATTCTCATTTTTTCTACATCTCTACATGCACTTACTCCTATCTCTTTAGCTCTCTGGTTGATGACTTGTAAAGAATCTCCTGGCTGGGGAACTGTAACTGCTGGGCAACCAGGCTGGATATTAGATGGAAATGTTGCAAGGCTTCATTCATTAACATGGCCAAAAGCAAATCTTCAATATTGTAAATTGAAATTGAACTCTTTGAATACAAGGTAAAGAAAATATACCCCAAACCCAAATAATTTCAACCATTTCTTACAGGAAACTTATGGCAGTTGAAAGGCTCAGGATGATAACAAATTACTACCATTCTTTTATAGCCAACAATAGAGCAGTATTTGTAGTGTGTCCATAAATTCCCTACTTTGATTTTAATAATAAATTGAATATGTAATATGTGGCACCTTCATAATCCCTGCTTTCTGCCAGGCTATCTTTTCAATTGTATCTCCTAAAATACTGACATGGTCTATACCTAGGGATGTTATTCCACACACCACTGGCTTCCTGCAAAAATGAAAATAATATATTATCTGATCAATGGCTATTTTATATGTTGCACTGCACATCCCTTTAACAGCAACATTAACTGTTTAATTTCAATCTTGAAATCTGGTAGACCCTTAAAAAAGTTATTTTGAGTCATAAATAGTTGGTTCAAGAAACACAAGAAATGGTCCAAGCCCTCCAAAATTATAGTTTGAAGACTACTTGCATGCTGCATTCATACTGTTGAGAATACAACTGAACTAAAATTGAAATGCACAAAATGAGCACCAGACCTCTATGTAACAATAAATTCATTTCCCTGCAAATTTCACTATCTTAATAACCAAAGTAGCAACATAAATCCTTGAAAACCCTTTGACCTATAAAGCCAGATAATAAGAATTATTAGTTTTTAATTTTGGAGTCTTCTCTTAACTCTTAATGAAATTAGAATGTGGAATTATTGCAGTTATGAATGTTAGAATACATAGCAACAATTCAGAACCAATGTGCCTACCTGACAATATTTGTGCAATCATACTGGCCTCCTATTCCAACTTCAATCACAGCAACATCTACCTACAGAGAAAAAAGAAAAGTATCTATATGAGAATTTGAATTACTGAAAAGACTGTACTTTATATGAATGTTCCACAAAATGTCAACCATGTTATGTAGTTTTAAAAAACACTGCTACATTCTAGAGCAATGTGCATGTTATTATATTTTTAAAATTTTTAAGTAAAAGAAAAACACTATGCCACAAATGCTTTATTTATACAACTATTACACATATTTAAATAATGGTATGTCTGATTTATGAAATACCTTTTCTTGAACAAACACCTTGAAAGCCATAACTGTCAAGAATTTAAAGTAAGATGGCATGCTTCCTCCATCACTGTCCTGAGGAAAAAAAATCACTTACTCTATATATATTGCAGTACGAAATTCAAATATAAAAATATTACAATAGGATGGGTTCTAAAATGAAAAAAAAATTAGTAACATTAAATATTTATTCAGAAATTATGAACATCATTAAGAAATGTGCAAGAGTTTCCGGTCTGACTTACCTTTCCTTCTATCAGTTTGTTGTAACACTGCCAGAAGTAGTCAGTGAACATGTCCTTAGAAAGAGGAAGACCATTGAGCCTGATCCTTTCTCTGACCTCGACAAGGTGAGGGGAACTGCTCAAAGAAATTTTAATTTTTGATGTTGAATAAGTCCAGAAGTTTTAATCATGGCCATGACAAAATATCAAGGGATATCTGGTTGCAGCAGATGCATTTTGATTCTTTTAAAATTGAAAACAGCAGATGCATTTCATTATTATTATTTTTTTTTTTTTTGAAATTCATAACAAAATCAAATTTGGCCGCAGTCAAAAATCAAACTAACTTTGGGAAGTTCTTATTGTCCAGTAGGCCATTATCCTTATATACCAAATTTCAATTCATTTTCCCTTAAAAGAATGTGTACATACCTGTAAAAACCAGTTTTATACCCATGAGCACGTAAAATACTTTCACAGAAAGCACACGTGGAACCCTTTCCTTTTGTTCCACTGACATGGATGACGTTCAGCTTATCAATGTCATCTAACTGGAGAAAATGAAACGGTCATAAAAGGATGGTAGTTAGGTGTGTTCCAGTAAACTTCCTAACATTAATCAGAAACTCTATTACTGATGTAAAAATAATAAATAAATAAATAAATAAATAAATAAATAAATAAATAAATAAATAAATAAATAAATAATTGCATGTAGGAACCCCTAAAGCGAACCCCACTGGACTCCAATACAGGGTAAACTTTTTTTTTTTTTGACAAATGTTGTCCAAATCAAAAATTTAAACACCACCAAATATACATTCAGCTGAAATAAAATATATTTTAGCATCTGACTAAAATTTACTATACCACTGTGTAATCTGATTTAAATTCCATTATGGAGTCTAGTCTAGTTAAGTGGAGATGCTAAATTGACTGTTTTATGTTTATGAAATTAATGATTGTTCTTAACATGCCATGGTCTCACTACAGTTTGTTTCCTCAATAATATGCAGCACACCTGCTGCACATTCAAATTAAATCATGAATGCAATTCTTTTTTAGACTTAAAACTCTTTATCTTGATGCAAGTAACTTATCATTTAAATTGAAATATTTATGAAAGTGGAAATGCCATATAATTCTCACTTGGGGGAAATTTCTTACATCTGTTANGATAACGATGCTGTTTTGCGGCCCTAGACAACAGTACCGCTCTATCTATGGGCCATACTCAGTGATCGGGTGAAAGTACGTGTATACCTTTGGTCGCAATTACCGACACTCACACAATCATACATTATGGTAACTCTAAATAGATCGTCGGGAGAAGGCCTAGCGACGAACAGACAACTTCCAGTCAAAATTGACAGAATTCCATGAAATTCGAACTTTTGGAAGTTCTGAGCACCTCCATTTCATGAATTTCGGCCAGAACGATCTTTTCCCAAATTTAATTATTTTCTACTGTTCGAAATTCATGGCACATTACCTTAAGCTGTCATGTCTGGAATCTCGTAAAAATATGCATATTCATAGAAAATATCACACATCACAAAATCATAAATTTTCACTGAAAATAAATAAATCTATTATGCCAAGTATACAAGAAAGAGCTGATCTATACAGTGTAGATATAATGTATTTACCGTAACTCCAACCAGCTCTGATAATCTCTTGGTTTCTGGCACATTTGAATGTGTTACGTTTGGCCCATTCTTCTCCCTGTCTTGTCGCTTCTTTTCAATGACAGCAGCATTTGACTGCAGACCATTCAAAGCATCTATGGCCTCCTGAAAAGATACAGCACCAATATGAAACACTGTCAAATGTATTTTACCTTGCTCAAATTTAAACTAAGTCATATGTGTCATTCAAAGAAGCCAATCTTACCTTTACTACTTGGCCTAAATATAAAACACTTAAAAACAAAACAGAAAATGTGTTGCTGTAGCAGTGAGAGAATATCTCTGCTGGTACCATAGTTTTCCATATAATTCACTGTATATTGTCAGTTTCATGGTGTTACTGGAGTTCACTCTAGAGTCTAGAATAATATTTTCTAGTTAAAAAAATATAAGGATTTCAGTCAATTAAAAAAATTCACCTTATTCAATAACTAACATACTTGTCAAGAACGGTGAAATATCTTACATTTTCGAGCCAAATTAGATAACGTTCAGCATTCGGCTATAATATACACACTATGGTTTCAAGAAGCCAGGCTTCTATTCAGTGGATTCAGCATCTCCTTTTAAATTCCTGTACAGTTTATCTCAAGCTCAGCATGCTACTTGACAAAATTTATATATGAAAGTGCTGGAACACCTGTTACTATAAATATGGAGGTCTAGGAATTAACCTGGGAATAAAACAGCATGCAAGAGAGCAGGCACCACATAATATACAGTACATGTGCAGGTATATATAATATAGCATAGAAATAAAGTATATGTGTAGACAGTAACATGCACCATCACCCTCCACTTACATCTAAAGTTGGTTTTGGGCATATCTTGGTGCCTTGCGTAGAAACAGCCTGAAAGTAGGACTGGCACCTCTGAAACATCTTCCATGGCGTCTGAAATGATGCACCGACCGATACTGGTGTTTTAATTAATATCCCTTTGTTTAAAGTAACAGTTTAAGTTCAAATAAAGGAATACAATGATACATAGGAAGAGTGTGCTATATGAAAAAGTGCTTTGCACCACTGACCAAGATATTAAACCCAAGCAAATGCAATCTGAAACGCTCTAATATATACAAAGCAATGCACCATACCAGCTGTTATAATTTACTACAAATGAATAACAATATTTCATAAGCAATTATCTTGCTAGCATTTAAATAATATTATATACAGTATATATGTAATCTAAGGGTGCATTCCCAGAGATTTAGATCGATCTAGAGATTTAGATTTAGATTGACCTAACTCCCTGGGGGTTCACGCTAAATTGCAGTCAGCCGAGCGCACCATAGTTAATTACCCCCTTACAGCTTTAAGTAGGCAGGACAGACACTTAAGCCGGCTAAGCTGACAGTAATCTAGAGAGACTCCCCACAGGGATAGATCGATCTAAAATCTATGGGAATGGGGTCTAATAAAAATCCTCTTTTGCAGCTTAGGGTTTAAATCTTTTTCATCAAACATTTTATATTTATATATTAAGGCATTCTTCCAAAAGAACTAAGAAAAAGATGAAAAATCTAATGACAAGTATGGTTCATTACATTAAAAAGTGAATGTGATGTCATTGTCACACAAACTTTGCGTGATATTTGCTTTTTACACCACTTTTAAATTACTGCTGATTTCTTTCAATATTGGAAGGCACTTATTTAAATGGTAAAAATAATGGGGCAAATCAAAATTATGCAAATATTACACAAAATGTGTACGACATTGATGTGACCCAAATGTTCACTTTTTACTGGAATGATCTCCATGAGAATTAGGAATTTAGGGCACTCTATAAAGTAATAAACATATATCACAGTGACTATAATAAATAAATATTTATTAATAAAATTGTAATAACCACTAACAGTAAAATAAGTTGGTTATGTTACAAATCATAGAAGTAGATGTACAAATTAACAAAGATAGACAAAATCAGACTACAGTTGAGCTAAAAATAGTTCACTAAACTTTATTTTTACCACAGAGTAGAACGGACTAAAAATTTAAAAACATTTTTCTTTAAAAAATCAATCTTAAAAGGAGAATAAAACAATAGCTTGCTCATACTGAATAAAAGTCATTTATACTTGTACATACTCTTCATCAAATTTATTATCTAAACGACTGAACAGAACAATGAACTCCAGTTATAGGAAAGTCACCACTTTAGATTACCAAAATTAAATACTACATGTTTAGTAGAAGGTATTCAAAACAATAAATTACTCCCCGAGTCTCTTAACCAATAAATACCATGCTCTGAGACTCTAAAGACTCCTCTGTCTTCTCCAATTTAAGTTCCATTACACTTTTATCCAGATCTGACCAGCCCAATCAAGTTAAATTATCATAACAACTTGTATCCGGGTCAGTGCAGATCTCCCATTCCCATGTCATGACCAGTTGATGACCAGGTCAAAAACTCGGTCACATATTAATATCTGAACCGGTCCTACCAAAATACGCAAACCGCGAAAACCAAAAGTTGATCGGCGAAAACCTCATAAAAAAACTACCAACATTCGATGTTCTCCACAAATTAGCCGAATATTTGCAGTTGTAATGATACAACTTGAGGTTTTCGCGGACTTCGCAGTTTGCGTATTTTAGTATGACCCCATCTGAACGATGGTTAATTTTGGATTACTAAATTGATTTTTATCTTCTCGAAATCATTAATATATTATGCTAAATGCAATATGTATAAATAATCTCTTCTCCGCTTTGAGAAGTTCTACTGGCCCTTCTTAACAGGATTGGCAGCAGATGTAAAGATAAATAAAAACCGGACTTATTCGGATACCGAGTAAGTTTGTTTTGTCGGGCCACGTGGTTGTAGAATGTACACAGACCTCATTTCAGTCATAACAAGCGACGGATAAAGTGATTACCTCATATGATTTTGTCACTCTCGAGGCATGCAGTGAAGAAGTGAAACACTTCATCATTAATCTGAGAAAGGACTTCTTTTCCCTAATAACTCACTGGAAATCGCACATTGGAAATGATATTGCTGCGACCACCCGGACAGCGAACCTCCCTTAACACATACAGAGCTAGCGAGCCTTTCTCAGACTTACTTTTGTTATATAGTTATTATGTAAATTCGATTTCAATTTCTGAATCAAAAATGAGCAGTTTCTCGGAATCTTTACAAAAAATTACTCCAATGAATATATTTTACTGCAATTTCGCGCATATTTAAGTATATCTTCATCGCTTATCATGGCTAAGAATAAAGTGCTAAAATCACATGATTCAGTCAAAATGGCGACGAGTGCCTTTCAAAACAAATTGAATGACTTAGAAAGGCGACTGCAAGCTGAAAATGAGTCCCACAGACGCGATCGCACACCTCGAAACTTCGGACTTCACATAGAGAGCCCAAGGAGACAGAGACCAAGTAGGTGTTTTTGTTAAATGTTTGACAAAAATGATAACAAAATAAAAAATTCTTCTGGCTCGGTTTTTTTACAGAGACAAAAATAAATTCTCTAGGGAATCCCCTTATTTTGGCCCGAGGAAATATTGCGCAGATATTGCATTTGCATTCTTTACAATACTTCCCCGTGTTATCTTGGAGTCAAACATGCCATTAATCCTTTTTTTATTATCATTAATGTGGAAACTTACCAACCCAAGCTGTCAGAGCCAGATTCAGGGTACAAATTTGTGACATTGCTCTTCATCTCTCGCGGTCTTTGATACAAGTCTTCTTCAGTCTTCAGTCATTTAGCCTGAAGGGCTAGGTGACTTTGCTGAACTTTTGAGTAGTGGTATCAATCTGTGAACTATTTATGTAATTAAAGAATAATTAAAGAATAATAAAAATTCAAATAAAGAATAATTAAATGTTATCAAATTAATGTTTGAGCACCCATGTGTCCTTTTCTATGTACCAGAAAAGTGGTCAAGTCAACTGGATGACTTGAGAATGTATGTATGCATGCATTACTGGGGTAGCGCTAGCAATTTTTTTTCGCTTAGCCAAATCACCACAATTTTGTCAATTTGTTATGAAAATGGCTATAATTTGACTAAAACAAGTCAAATCAAGCACTTTGTCTTTAGCCAATTTAAGTCAGTTTTAGCATTTGGCTAAATTGGCGAGTGTTAGTGCTACCCCAGCATTATACTTATACATTTGATTTCTTCAAGTCTTATCCATCTGACTCACTTCATTTTGACTATCATTTTTTTTTTGTGCAGCAGCCTAGTAGACTTGCAACTGCAAAATTAGTTTTCAAACCTTTAACTGGTTGGACTATTTATGAGAAAGTCTTCCAATCTTTAAGGACTGCCCAGTTTTATTAACTTAATATTATACTCTGTTACAAAACAGGTTTGAAGTACTTGAGACTTGAAAAATATGTGAACACCATTTATTATCATCTCAGTGAGCCATACTTTCTACACAAATGAAAAATTGACTTTTTAACTCTGCTAATAATTGATAAAATGATGGCAGTTATGAACTTTATCTAAACAAAAGGGGCTTTGTTTGATGTGTAAGCCTTCACACACCTGTTTTCAATTATTACCTTTTCAATGAAAAAGATTTAGTGGTAAGGAGAAAAGTTGAAACAAATGATATGTGAAGCTTTGGCAGATAATTTTTGTGCAGGACTTTTTCACCCAAGTAATGACAATTTGTTGGAAAACTATATTGTATGAATTATATCCAAGACGAGGAAATTCTGTTGCAAATCATACTAATGATTATAATTACTGGTTTTAATAATATGGTTTTGATCTATCACCTGAGCACCATAATCTTTAGTATATTCAGCATTATATAGCTCTCCAAGTAATGTTGTAAAAAAAAAGTTAACATACTTATCAAGTAATTATAATGATGCTGATTCTGTATGAAAGAATTCATTTTTTACCTGTCAATCCCACTTGATATGATTTAAATGAAATATATTTAAGTAAAAAAATACTAGCAATTGATAATTGGATCTGGATCTTCATTGTGCTCATTATAATCAATTTCCACACAGCTGGTTTTGGTCCCACTATATCCCGGCCAGGCTCAGCTCCTCCTCACACAAGGACAAGGCAGAGGTTTGAATGGGCCACCTCCCCACAGACTACAAAACCTTTAGACAGGTGAGACAAACTGTGTCTATCAGATGTGATCATTATTTTGATGGTAGGAATTATCTGGTTTTATAGGCAACAGATGTGTTCTTGTGTTGATTTAAAAACCCATTGACATTATTTTAAAAAATGTCTTGCAGATGAGAGAATAGATGAGAGATTGCATGGTGATATGATGTGCCAGTAATACTTCTGTTCATTGCACGCTGTTTTGTTGTAATTATGTGTTGGTTAAGTCTAGGGTTAGATATGTAGATTTTTACCTATGTCTAGCTGTGCATAAGAGATACAGTCATTAGGCAGGCTCATGACATCCAATTCTCAATATTTGAATATCAGTTACTGTACTGTATCATACCTAAGAAAAGTGAATAATTTTATTTTTCAAAGCAATGTGATTTCTTTGAAGTCTAGATGCATTTCCTTTTGTCATGAGAAAATCCTTTCTGCTAACTTAAACCTTTCCATGCTTATGAGTCAGAAGGCATGATTTTCAGCTTTCCTAAGAAAACAGCATTTGGGAATTCGAAATTTAACTTATAAGTTTACATTTTGTGATAATTTAGTGATTAAAGTGACAACATTTCACCATACTGTGTCACCTTAAAGGTCTCAAAACGGGGGCACTGCATGCAAAATGCACATAGAATTTTAAGGATCAGTTAACATGATTGCATTGCCCCCTCTCCATTATTCATAAGGAGCTGTAATTTATTGTAATTGACTATTACAAGTACACATGTATAATTTATAATTGTGATTCTAATTGTCTTTATAGTGTTGACATAGAACAGAAATATCATGAGATTATGAAACAGGCAGGGATTTTACACTTTAATGGTCAAGTAAGTACTAGGAGTACTATATTCTGATTTAATTATAACCTTGTTTACATAATCCAACAACTCAAGATAACATTCATTTGTAGTTCAAATATCCAATAAGACTAAAATTTAACTGAGCAGTTGTATTCAATACTTTTGACAGTCATTCAATTTTCCACACTACATTTGTACAATATATAATGCTGATCTAGAGCTTCATGTGAATTCAGTGTATTTTAAAACTCTTTCTATCCACAACTCTGCATTTTTCAAAATTTTCTGTTTCAGAAAATTAAAAGTAAAATAGTTGACCTTGAACCCATGATTGAACTGGGTCAGGGGACGTGTGGCCATGTTGTTAAAATGAAGCACAAGGGCACAGGACATTTACTTGCTGTCAAGGTAAGGCACCATATGAACAAACATGGGGATTGTGAAACCCTGTTTTACAGTGGTCTTACACAGGGGTCTCCTCAGGATATGGGGTAAAGGGAGTCCAAAATGTGAATCTGTAATTTGGCCATCCTTTTACAGGGAGTGTAAGACTAGGTTCCCATACCTAGATTGATCTAATAGGATCGATCCATCTTTGAGGGGTTTCTCACTAAATTGCATTCATCTTAAGTGGCTTAGATGTCTGGCACACCTACTGAAGCTGATAATAAATGATAATTGATTACCCCCTAGCAGCTTCAGTAGGCTTGACAGACATCTTAGTTGCTTAAGTTGATTGCAATTTAGCTAGAATCCTCTCAGAGATAGATCTATCCACAGTTTGTATGACAGGTCCTGGGAATGGTCCCCAAAATGTGAATCTGCAAATTTGTCATCGATTTACAGGGAGTCCAACCAACCAACCAACCCAAACATTTTGTAAGCCCTCCAGCTGTCTTTGAAAGTATAGGCCATCTTTTGAGGCTAATGACTTTGCCAATAGACAGCTGGATGACTCTTTGGGGAAAACCTTGGTCTCACAGTAAATGATAGTAAGATTGGAGAAGCTTGGTCAGTAAAATTGTGTAAGCTTGTTCAGTTACTGTATTGGTCGCTGTTTCTGCTTTGCGCCAAAAGACTCCTAAACCTTGTGGCATAAAGAGCCTTTTGGCTGAAGTGTTTTTGCCACAAACTGTTTACAAATATTACTGGTCGTTAAGAAACTTCACAGTCCAGATGAACAGTTGTATTTTGTTATTTTATTGTATCACAGACAATTACTCAGTACTTTTTTGTCAAATATTTGACTGACTTTATCAGTCTTCATCAGAACATCTACTGATCAGTTTAATGCTATGGGTAATCACATAATGGCAGAATTCAAGCTCTCTGAAAGAGCTCACAAAATTGAGCATCAGCTTTAATACTTTAAGATAAGGGCAATTACAAAATTGAATGTGTAAATTATTACCATGTCATTAAGTATAAGCATCAGAATGTGTTTAGTACATAAAATAATATTGTTTTTCATTTCAGCAAATGAGAAGATCTGGTAATAAAGAAGAAAATAAAAGAATTATCATGGACCTGGATGTAGTCATAAAAAGCCATGATTGTTCCTATATAGTGCAATGTGTTGGGTATTTTATTACAGAAGTAAGTATTTCTTCAGGATGTTATTAAAACTAACCCATTGTGTAACTTTAAGAAAGGAGCATTAGCCGTGAAGTCCTTATAATTTACTTACCCATATAGTAGTTATGTAAAGTAGTTTAATTCAAAAGCCTGTGAACTTAATAAAAAAGGGTCAGTAGTTTTGGGTGAATCAAGTCTTCATATTGTACCAAGATAAGTTACATTAAACATGAATTTTAATGCAGCCTATATCATCATTGTGCGGGTTGAAATGTATAAAACTGTTGTCACAAAGAAGAATTCCCATTTGTTTCAATATAATTTTTTCAGAGTGAAGTATGGATCTGCATGGAATTAATGTCGACATGTTTAGACAAATTATTGAAAGTGCTACAAGCACCTATACCTGAGAAGATTATAGGAAAAATGGCAGTAGCAGTGAGTATTTATTCTGTGCAATTATTATATTAAAAAATATTACTGAATTAACCATCTGTAAATTATAATCAGAGGTGGCATTAACTACTGCCTCTACAACAAAGTGTTATAAGTCAGTTGTGCTGAATCATATCACATTTAAAAATGTTAAAAGTTATTGCTGTTAACTGGATAAGTGGTCAGTGATGATTTTACCAAAAAAAGATTTAGACAAGAGATTGAAGCACTAAGTGTTGTCTTTTCTGTAATGATTGCATGGTTTTAGTCAAAACAGTTTTAATCCCTGTTTCTTTGATGGACTTTTATGACTTGAAACCGTGATGCAACTATTTTCTTTGGTTTCAGATTGTGAAAGCATTGCATTATCTCAAGGAAGAGCATGGAGTCATTCATAGAGGTAAATCATAATTGTTGTTTTTGCTATCCACATTTATGTGGGCTCAGTATAACAGCTATATTTTATTTAGAACCAAATTTTATTCAAACGCTTCTGTTAGAAAGAAAATCACCTTACCCCTAAGTTATTAGATTTATTTTGCAATGATGGTTTGAGATGCATGTTTCTTTATCAGCTCAAGGCTGTTAGTATCTGTTGAAAGGTTTTCATAATAAAAGGTATCTTTTGTGTGTCTCACCTGAAGCAAGGCACTTAAGATCTAGAACCTCTGTTGCATTGGCATCTTGTACAATCAGAAAAAAAATCAGATAAACTGATGAAAGTTTGTGGCATTTTTTCCACATTTTACACAAATACTGAAAAAAGTCTTAGAATATAAGGTCAGGAGAGGATATCATGTGTAATATGTGGATGGATGTTATAGTTCTTTGAAGTTTGATCTTTGAAAGCATGCTCTGGATTGTCATAGGCAGGATGTTACAGAGAGATTAAGTGATGAAAGATAGGATAGGTGGGGATGATTTTCAAGACAGTCTCTTGCGTCATAATTTAAATGTCATCATTGAAAACTTTTCATCAAACTAAAGAACTTTCAATTGAAGATTGCTAGCTTTGTGATATATCCATTTAAAGGTTGGATTTTGTGTGTTGAGGAAAATCGAAGACTTTGTTTAAAATGTATTAGCAAACTGTTTGTAAAATTATTCCATTTGATTCAAGTTTTATTTATTGCACTTCACCATGAAATAGAGCAGGGCGTTTGCCCTGTTGATCTTGTGTTTTTTTTCTATTTGTTTTCCTGTGATGTGATGTTATATCATGGTTAAGCATTGTTCAGTTTGAGGAGTTGTGACAGAAGTCTGCATTTAGTTTTGGGAAGGTTGAAAGTATGGCATCATGGCAAAGATGGCCCCTCACACATGTTACACATTACACCAGTAAGCCTACCACATCAAGGACCAGTTTCATAAATGGTCTCTAAATGTTTTATATAATCTTAAACAGTCTTTGGATCATGACTGATTTAGCGAAGATTTCTAGACAGTCTGAATTAAAGAAGTCAACATTTCTGTACATTGTTTAAATGTAGGATAAAGTGAACATGATAGTGGAATCTGGGCATGATTGGGGGGACTAAGAGAAATTCTGGTCTCTATAACATCGTTTAGACAAGCACAATTCTAGAATGGAAATGGGTCTAGCGTGTTGCAATCAGCTGTTTTGACAAGCCATTTGATCCAATTTCTATTGATAAGTCCTGGTATAAATTGGACTTGAATGATTCTTCATGTAAATGAAGCCTTATTTAGATGTCCTTTTTTAAATATTTAGCTAGGCAATTCTTATTTAAAAAGAATGTCTTAAACTTTTTGTGCAAAATCATTCAGTCATGCACCGAGCACCGTCCTTTTACTATACTCAAGCATGCAGATATCAGGAAGGAGTATTCTTTTCATTTTCAAGATATTCTCCTTTTTAATGTTGCAAAGATAATTTTTGAATAAGCTGGATTTAAAATAAAGTGCCTATAATGGGGGGGGGGGGGGGGTCAGTGGTGGGTGTTGGATGAAGGGGTAGAGTTTTTGTCTTTTATCATCATTCTCTGTATCCATCAGTGGGGCATGTGATCAACATCAGAAAAATAAACCTGTATTTTTTAGAAGTTCCTGATGGGTTTGACCCTCTACAAGTTCTTGAATATACATTATTAGATAGACTTGCAGGCTGGCGAATAATCAAAAAGTAATAAACTAGCAAGTCACTTCTTGGAAGCAGACTGTGTGAAACTTTGTCAAAGGCACACTTTTGGAAAGCCGTCAAAGTCAAAGGGGTACATACTTTGGCAAGTAAACATGATTACACGTTGTTGATAGACTTTTTCTGACTTCTGTGTTCATTGATTTTTTTTTCTGACTTTTGTTACGTAATCTCCCAGCATTTTTGAAAATGTCATTTTTGGCTTCAAGGTTTCTCTCATCATCGAACCATGGAGGCATGGTTCAACAGTGCTAAAACACTGTGAAACAATCACTCAAAATACTTAAAGATGTGATTTAAATTTAATCAGCTGTAGATAAAATAGAAAAAGTTCAAGTTAGGTGTAAAAATTGAAGAGTAAAATTTCTTTGGTGGTGTCCTGCCTATCCGGGGTATGAACAGGGAGTCCAGTAATTGAACTGAGACATTGCTTGTCCAGTGATGCTTAACAATCACTGAAAATTTAATTTAGAAGCTGTGTACTTGAAAGTGAAATGAATATTATCCTTCCCAAAATAAGTTTTATGGTTCAACAGTGCTTCAAGAGACATCCAGATCAGACTGACAACTCAGCTCATCATGATCCTATTTCTTATCTTCATGATAGCATTAAATGTGTCTCATAACATTTTATTAGGTGTAGGCAAGCTTATTCTATATTAAAAAATCTATATTCATGAAATCAGAAAGAATTTTTATTGTATATTTTAGATAAATAAATGAATACAGATGGTATGAATTAAAAATCAATTGTTTAACAAATTGTATTTTTTATATAAATAAATACAGATGGTATGAATAAAAAAGCAATTCTTTAACAATTTTTTGGCAAAAGCAGGATGCAACACCCTTAATTAGATAACTTAAAAGGAAAATCAGAGCTGTGAGTTTAATTGGACTGATAGGGTTCTGTAGAAGAACTTCATGTTACCATGATAGAATGCAATGAAAAACACACTAAATATAACTGTTGAATGGAAACTTTTATTTTATTTTTTGTAGTGCCTTAAAATGGTTTATTAGATGTTTATTGGTTCATATATTAAGTACCCTGAGCGTCAGAGCAACGTAAAAGCTAGCTTGCTAAATATATCTTGTGGAGTCGCTTTTACTAACTCTGAAGACCAGCGGCCATGAAAGTTTTCCATCAATCAAATAGAACTGCTCCGCAGTGAAAATGCAGTTGAATGTCATCAGACCAAAATAAAACATAAAACAAATTTAATTCTGCTTTATTTAATTTTATTTGCTGTATTTAAGATGTAAAGTGAAAAAATAAATAATATTCTTCGGAAAGAAAAGATATATTCAATGTTTTTTTATTTTTTGCTTATCAAAGAACATTTAGTCCTGAGATATACACGTGCACAATACATGTGCTTGCCGTGTGCCAAATTTGACAGCTACACTGTATGCCCGATACCACTATAAGGGCTGCGCAATGGCTACACGAAAATAAGTTTTTACAGCAGAATGTTGCTTGTATCGTGGCACTGACCTTCGACTGCAAGATATTTTCATTTCAAACTTTTAACTCCGCGTCAGGAACTTTAATTGCTTCTTGTCTCGCCTGCACGAGACTTCAGCGCAAGGCGGGAAAGGCAGCTCCAAGCGGCCAAACCTGTGATGTACGAGACTTATGACTTCCAAATATGGATCCAGGCGGACACAGCTGTGACGTGTGACTTCCAAATATGGAAGCGCCCCAGGCAGAATTTTGAAGAAGAACGCCCCCGAGTTGCCACTGTTCGCTAGAGTCTGGTATTGCTACTATGGGTTATATATGAAATCAAGATCGAGCTGGCAATACCGGAATCTAGAACCTAGGGTAATATTAAGTTCAACCTGTATGAACTTCTAGCACCTGTTTAGGAAACCTGTTAAGCATAAAATTGAGATCGGTGCATGACACCTTAGAAAGATTCAAAATTTACCATTGAGATGCGCTCTGCATTGTAGCTTCACAAGCAGTAATTATTATGGCTTGTTAATAATGCCTTCTTGTAATCAAGTGGAATGATTATGTGATATATTTAAACCAGTTTTCATTCTGAGGTTGCCTAGTCTGAGCAGACCTCAACTGGTACAATTGTTCCCTGAACAATATTCTGTTGAAAGTTGTCCAGTCTGAGCAGACTTCATTAGGTACAATGGGTTCCTAAACAGAATCCAGTCTTTGGTTCAAAGTTGCCCAGTCTGATCAGACAATGGTTTCCTGGGCAGGATCCAATTTTCTATTTAAAGTTGTCTAGTCTGAGCTGACCCCAACTGGTACAATAGTTTTCTAAACAGGATCCAATCCTCGGTTCAAAGTTGTCCAGTCTGAGCAGACCTCAACTTGTGCAATGGTTGCTTGGGCAAGATCCAATTTTCAGCTCAAGGTTACCCAGTCTGAATGGACCTCAACTGGTACAATGGTTTCCTGGGCAGGACATGTCAATTTCAATCAGTAAAATGGATTAAGTAAACAGGGGAAACTTTGAGGTAAAAGGTTCGATGGCTCAAGTTATGTGCTTTGAAGATTCTACTTGAAAGACAGATTTCGTTACAGTGGCCTGAATTGCCCCATTGGTTTTTCCCATTTCTAAAACTAATCTCGATTCAGTTCAGCTGTACTGCCCTGGTAGGGACAAGCATGTGGTAAAATTAATGCGCGCGTCTCTCAGCCCTTCTGCACACTGATAGTTTGTATACTAACAATGAACTGTGACCAGAGAGAGACCAACCTGCAGTCACCCATATCTTCTCACTTGAAAGATCGTCCTAAAATAGTTCTGCCTTCTGTCTGAATGATTTTTTACAGGTTGATTGAAAATGGTACGCAAAATGTAAGGTGTTGATATTGGCTAATTAAACATAGGTCTTACTTAATGGAAATTTAAGATGTGTAACATGGATAAGCCCTGGTGTGACCTGAATCATTTTAGATTGGGAGTTTTTTGTTTACCCTACCAGGGCAAGAAACTGAAGACAGATTTTTTATGGATTTTTTTTTTACCAAAGGATTGAGTAGTCCTGGATTCTTGAAACAGAAATATTACTGTCAGTATACACTGATAAACAATTATCTACCATATCAAATTATTCATTTCTTTTAATACTGTTAAGGCTGTTAATACCTTTTCACTGCTTCTATCACAAGTAAATAAACACCGGCCAAGGAGGGAATAAAATCAATGTATAACATTTCAGATATCAAGCCCTCCAACATCTTGCTGGATGAAAATGGAGTGGTGAAACTGTGTGATTTTGGCATCAGTGGGAGACTGGTGGATTCCAAGGCTAAGACAAGGAGTGCAGGATGTGCAGCTTATATGGCAGTGAGTTATTCTAGCCTATCCATAACAGGGGCCCCAGCTTGAAATCTGTGCTGTGGAACATGAATGTGTATCATGCATCTTTATGTTTAGATGTTTCTTAGCTCTATTTTTATCATCATTTTAATGCAGGATAGAAGCCTCTCTATCTCTGCTGTTTTTTTTTTTTGTTTGTTTTTGTTTTATCAACATAAGGTGCATGTCTATATTGGAATTACAATTTTGAAGAAAATGTTAACTGTAGTTCTCCATTTTGGAAAACTATTTACCATTAAATTGAATAAAGTGTGTACTATTTTCTCACTAGGCCTGTCTCCAAATTTTTATTTTGTTTTATATATATTTCCATTGTTACAGTGTTAAAACGTGACATGTATCCCAGTTGATTAAATTAAGTTGCATTCCCACAAGTTTGTGGAGATTACACATGCACATACACACACATTCACATGGATGCATGCACACACATACACATACATGCACGTGCATGCATGTCACACACTTGCACCTTTAATGCCGCCTATACTTAATAAGGCATGACTTTGTCTATTCCAGCCAGAGAGAATTGAACCCCCTGATCCCACCCGGCCAGACTATGACATCAGGGCCGATGTGTGGAGTCTAGGCATTACTCTGGTAAGTCTTAGACCCCATTCCCATAAAGACATCATTGGTTTATATGGACCAACCCAACTCTCCTGGGACTATCACTGAGTGCAATCAGCTTAATTGAATGATTAGCCTCCTTTTGTTTCAAATATACTCGTATAATCACCAGCTTTACTGTATTTTACTCAACAGCAGTTGGAGGCGTGTGAATATATTTTTTCAAGTCATTTTGAAGTCATATTTTTGGACAGAGATTTTACCTTAAAAAAGCAGGTCACGTTTTCAAACTTTAACAATTTTAGTTGCTGGCATCTGATTCAGCTTCTAATATTTTGAAATTAAAGCAGTTTATGATAGAATGTAAGTGAAAAAAAGGAAAATATCACCACCGACTTTTTAAAACCTTTTTACACTTGGACAGCTGGGAAGATACTTCTGGCTCAAAGCCAGTCATTCCTATTGAACATGTTGTCTTTTATGAGAAACAAAATTCTAATTTTATTATCGAAGAACAAAAAAAAAAACCAGACGAAACTGTTAAAAGCTCGCTTTACAATACATCTCACAGGGCTACCACAAAGATTTGCTCCTTGAAATGTCATCAATTGATAATATCAGGCAACATGATCTGACAGAGTTTAAGAGCTCAAAAGTCCAAGTCTTGTTTTGTAATAGTATTAAGACCTGCGGGTTATGTGAAGTGACAAAACCTATTACCACCTTGAATCAAATCCTTTAAGCAGACTTTGAATCTGGATGCCAAATTGAAAAGTGAAAACTTTCTGGATTTGAACATGCTATTGTTTGAGTTTAAAGTATCTTGTATTCTATTGGGATATGTAAGCTTAATGTAAAAATTTGTAGTGTTTAAGGAATTTTTCTATTTATGTGATTGTTAGGACCTAGTTAGATGAAAAAGATCAAAATTTACATGATGACCTTTGTGTTATAATATAAGTTAAGACAGGTTTTATGTTGTTGATGGTCTACTAGTAAGTGGGTTCACAATTATTTGAGAAAGAAATTGTACTAAATAATCACATTAACTCTAAAGTTTTTAAGTGAATCGGTCAATGACTCTGACAAAAGTGAAGACAATTTAAAAGGCACTGAAATCTTTGCACAGCCTGTGACCATTCATTTTTAATACGTTAGTACTTAAACAGTTTCCGTTAACCTGCAATTTCTATCATATTACTAAACCGTAGAGTTAAGTAGTATTTTATTGGTTTAGTAGAGGTATTTTAGTTTTACAAGTTTTTCAATTTCCTGTTTTTTATGCTGTGGTTGGCCATGACCATGTGCAGGAGCAATACTTTTAAGTTTCAGATGTACTAACTTTAAGATTATTTTAGATGTCCAGTTTTTTAATATAGGTAGACTGATCATTTGCAGCAACTCACAAACTTGTGGTGTGTTGTCTGCTATAAATATTTGAAACCAAAATAAGACTTAATTATTTGTTTTTATAGAACAAGTCAGAACGATTTATCAACAGTAAGGCATGGGAATTTTCCACCAGTTGGCAGATTTTCTTTCTTTTAAAGGTCAAAATGGCATTTTTGAAATAATCGCAGATCTGATGCACTAGGGGCTTAGAGAATGGAGCGGTAATTTTTGAACTCTGCTCTACTGTTTGCAATCGTGGATATTCATACTTGGTTGTTTTATTTGGGGGGGTGGGGTGTAAGTATTGAACTTGGTTCTCAACTACTGTTTGCAATCCTAAATATCCACACTCCTCAAAAAGTTATGGACTGATTTTTATGAGCCAAGGAAGAGATGATTAGTTTTTGGTGGTGATCCAATAATCAATAATAATCAAAAATTGCTGCCTTGGCAGAGGTCTGTGGTCTCGGAGTGATTTTCTAGTTGAACTAGGTTCTCAACTACTGTTTGCAATCCTAAATATCCATTCTTGGTTGTTTCACTTGCAGGTGGAACTAGCTACAGGTCAATTCCCATACACAAACTGTAGAACTGATTTTGAAGTATTAACAAAAGTCCTGGAGGAGGACCCCCCTCTTCTACCCTCAGGGTCAGGCTTCAGTAGTGAGTTCCAGTCTTTTGTGAAGGAATGGTGAGTTTATTGCCTATTATTTTTTGGTTTTAGTGAATTTCGTGTAACTTTGATTAATGTCCTTTGATTAATATTGTTTTCAAATCTTGAATAGATATGGACATTTCTGAAAATATATATTCAACAAAATTATTAAGAAATTGGATCACATGCATGAAAATGAGACAGAATTTAAAAGTTGATCTTCATCCTTTGATGATTTTTTAATGCTTAAGGACACTGTTTTATTAATATGATAAGGTACAATTTAATGAGTTATTGATTAAGAAGTCTTGATGTATACATATGTTGCTTTTACAGTCTTGCTAAGGATTATCGAAAGAGACCAAAATATAGGAAGTTACTGGTAGGTGAATTATGAAACATATTCGTTTCTGTAGTAAATGTGCTTATGCTGTCACATTTTATTATGATATATAATAATTTTAATTTTATAAAAATTCATCAGATTTTGAAAATTTTCGAAAAATGTTATATGATCAGATATCCAAATATTTCATGAATTATAATAAACTGTTTGAAAAATAATTTTACGATAATCTGCACAGAAACATCTTTCACCAATCTTGTCATTTTTGTTCATAGCTGGTGAATAAATTGTGAATTAATGCCCTTTTATATTTATGTATTTGTGTAAAATTGATAATTTTCTATTATATTTTTTCACAGGATCATCCTTTCATTAAGAAATATGAGACCGCTGATGTGAATGTGGCAGAATGGTTTGCAGCAGTGCAGAGCAAAAACACCAGCAGCATAGCTAGTGTGTCCACTCACCAACACAGATGACTGTACAAGAACTGACCACGGGCACTGACCATGACTCCAAGATTATTATACCACCACTATCAGTATCAGTATAGTCTTGTTTTGTAATAAACAAATGTCACATGTATATTTCTGCATTGTCACAGAGAACTTGGGTCGTTAGTCATAGTTGATAGCAGGAATCTTGGTGACTAAAGTGACACCTGATGACAGAGTGTGACTACAGTGACATCTGGTGAGAGGCATTGCGACTTGAGTGACACCTGGTGGTTGCAGATCTGGTTTATGTTAAGGATTTAAGATGCGCAGCATTGTGCCCAGCAGTTATTGTTTTCCATGTAAGGTTACTTATGTGCAAAGGTAATTTTAAAGAAAGTTGCTGGGTGGTTTTCTAAAGAAGAAAAGGACAGATGAAATTGGTGGCAAGGTCTCCTCATCTTTGTAGCAATCTGGTTGGATGGAGAGGAAAGTTAAATAATGATAAGTTATGGTATTTACCTGGGCGCTGTGCATTTGTGTTCACATGAATGTGAAAATATTTGTACTCCTGCAAGCGAGGGAAGAGAATGGAAACCCAAATCATGACAAAAGTTTTTTCAGACAGATTTCAATGTTATGTAATACCACGCATTTGCTCATGAATGGTGCTGGTGAAAATGTTGTGGAAAAGAGGTGATGTTGTTTTCTTTGCAGTTGTGTTGTAGTGTTAGTTCAATATAATGATTGAACTGGATCAGAACATGAAATAACCAGCTAAAATCGTGTAGTAGATGAACAAGAATGATGTATTTTCATGATGCAAAGATCATGTGAAAAAATGTGGCATAGCTTCATCAGTGGAAGAGGGGTGAAAATTAGATTTTTCTTTGGTGTTTTATGCAGTGTTTCTGTTGACAGCAGAGTACTGATGGTGTTATTATGTCATTTATCATGATGTTGTCTTATATATGATGTCAGTTATTGTGACATACTGGTTTAAAAGATCATGGCGTCACTGTTCATAATGATGTCACAGATTATGATGTCACTGTCGATAATGATGTAATAGATTATGATGTCACAGGTTGATGTCACTGTTGTTGATGATGTCACGGATTTTGAATGTCAAGAATGTAATGTCACAGGTTAATAATAACTGATTATGATGTCACGGAAAATTGATGATATCGGTTTGTTCAGGTCACAGTTGGATTGACCATAGATATACTTGTGCAGTACATACATCTTTGATGGATAAGTTGCTGGACCATTGACCTGCAATGCTTAATGATTGCCACGATTGTATATTTAGGTTGTAAATTAGTGGTTATTTTAACACTTTCATGCATACATTTTATTGATCTGTTGCATTTGAAGCAACAGCTGACACTGTTGAGGTCACATGGTCATATATGATGTCATATTTGACTCGGTGATCTCACATTGAAAAAAATTGGTTGCAGAAAGGGTTACCCAAACCAGTGTCCTTGAGATGTTACATTGATAGGAGTTTGTGAAGAAATAGTTGAAGCATGCATGTTTCTGAGCTGAAGTTCTTAATGATTTTATCCAGAAATTTGGGTGCTTGTAAGACATTATTTTTTTTTTTAATTTGGTAAGGGGGAGCCCCCATGTTAAGCTGCACACCTTTGTCACTTGCATTTTTGGAATTTTTAAAAGGCCCAATTTCATCTCAGATGTTTTAAAATATAACCTTATTTTGCCAAGTGTGACTGATGCGGGGTCGTTATGAGGCTTTTCTCTTGAAAATATTCCTAAACAAAATTTTCGAATTCCAAGTCAAATTTCTTTCACACAGAGTAGATAACTCTGTGACAAACTTATGTTCACTGTGCATGATTGCTGACTTAAAAGATCATGACATTTTGTCATTCCTCATTTTGTTGAATATCTCTATGACCAGGGCCACAGGAGAATGAGGACCTCAGTATGCAATGCCGTGGAAGAAAATAAGCTGGCAAATTCTCTTTTGAGAAATTATGTTGATTGTGTAATGTATTTTGCCTATTTTAGGCAGACATCAAGTGAAATTGGAGGGTCTTCTGACTCGAATTTTTATGTAAAAAATCCTAATGTAGAAAATCCATTTCAACAATATGGAATAAGTGAATTGGATAAACAGTATTGTACTGGTACTGTATTGGATCTGGATATGACTTTGTTGTTGGCAGTAACATTTTGCCAAATTTTGAATTTTGAGCATCAACTAGTTGCATTAATGATGAGTTCATTTGGTGTGTATGTTAAACCAGCGCCATGTCATATATCACTGTAATTCCCATCAAATACAACCATTTTCATATGATGTAGATCAATCCAAATTGATATTGTGGTCATATTTATGCAACATTTGCTATGGTTTATTTGTGTTGTACCAGAGCAGTAATGTCAATGTTATCTTTGGAGGTTTGAAGATGACTTTGTCAACTATTGTTCTGAGGTTCTGCCATTTCCAGTATGGAAATAGTTAACTTGGGGTGCATTTAAAGTCAAGTTGTAACGATTTAACTGAGTACCATATGGTCACAAGCCATCACAGCTGGACAGCAAATGTTACCTTTTTTTTTTAAAGAAAATGTGCCAAGCTTTTTAAACCACCATAGACATTGCAACATGTAGTCCCTCTCGGTTTTAAGCCACTGGTTCTATTTTCTTATTTTTCATTTTTTAGGTCAAGAGTAATTGATAACTAAATTGTTGTTAGTCATCCATTATCTTCACGGAGTTAGGGAGAGGCGTGTTTTGGGCGCCACTGAAGACATCCGGGCAACTGCCTAAAATGTTAAGCTTCAGCTCTCGTGATAAATGAAAGGAGTCTCTTTGGCAATATCTATTATCGAACTGCAAGTGCCAGTACAAGCTGCGGACAGTTAAAGAAAAAAAAAACTAATCCCGCTCTGCTTTAACCTCCTGAAGCATATGAAGGATATGTAGGACCCCCTATTAGGGTCGTTGTCATAAACGTACTCCGTGCATAAGGTACCATAAGCCCTGAAGGGGAGCTGAACCATGTATTTAAATAAATTGGTGTTCACATAACCCATGTATGTTCAGTGTGACGGCGTGAATGGTTCGCTCGTTTGCTAACCATGACAATGTTTTTTTTTTCCAGAATAAATGCATTTATAAAATCTTGGCGTATGAGACGTTTTATTTCTGTGATTTTAATGAGGTTATAAGTTAAGATGTGTTTAGGAATTGTGACCGCGTTTTAACAAGTCTCTTCACAGACCGCGCCCAAAATTTCCTACGTAAATTACGTAAATCTCGTCATTTAGCACTGCCATAACAACTGTCTACATTACATACAATTAAGACAGTACCTTAGGCGAAATTTCCGTAAAAAATTTTTGGTGAAATGCCAAAACTTCAGGTCACATTTTGATTATCCCTTGAGTTGATCCCAAACCCTCATGGCCTTATTATCTACGCGTGCAGAGCCAACAAATGAGCGTACATTTATTCTCATTACTTCTTAATAGAATGTCACTGTCAGTAGAGTGGCATTTTAAACCATTCACTACGACTCCAAAGTTCTGTAAATAATACGACCAAGAACCAAACTCATTTAGATGAAAGGGCAGCCTTCTTTGGGCTGAATGGCGTTTTTCTTCACTTTACCAAAGTTCATTATTTCAAGTTGAAACAAAGTATTTTAAAATATTGGATCTCTGAAAATTTGGCAATGGCGGTTATGACCCGACGGTTCCGCTTGTATTTTATATAGGCCTATATATAAACCGCCGGTGTCGCTTGCATTTTATTTATATTAATATATATTAATGGCCAAATACGGTGAAACTCACTAGCGGAGACCAGCTGACTGATGACGTCATTCTATGCAAAAATTCTCGTTGTTACACTGGATAACGTTATCCTATGGATAACACTATCTTTGGATAACGATATCCTATGGATAACAGTCATTAATAATTCCCTGGATAGCAATTTCAGAAACTAAAACGATAATAACGAGGGTTTGGAAAAACATAACTTTACCTACAGGATAACTGACCAGAGGATAACAATTGCATCTAATGGATAGCGTTCTCTAGAGTATCCAGTGTTGATGAACCTGGGCCCAAGTGTATCGTGTAAGGTCCACCCAAAGGATAAAAGCTAAAAAGCATAGCAAGTGGAGATTTGAATCAAAATTTCAATTCAATTTATTTTGTCATTGGAAGCCAACCTTTTGTATTATATGATGGTATTTCTAGTTGCATCAGCGTTACGTGAAGCAAAATGGCTATCAATCTTTTCAATGAACCACAGACTTATATAGGTGGTACACCAAAACGGGATCACCCCCCCAAAA